CATATCCCCCTGATTCTAGCCAAATTCCAAGGTGTCAGACAGGAGTGGTGATGGGAGGTGATGCAAAGGATAAAATGATTAGTTTTTTCTTCATGTGTTGGTATGAGTTTCTGATGTTGTGGCCCAGTTGTTTGTGTATTTGCCTAAGAGGATGATTTCTGTCTTTCTTTTGTTGAGCAATGCATTTCTCACCTTGGAGTATTCCTCTAGTGTGCGTTCCAGCTGTTGGGCATCTTCATTGTTTGCTATGCCTGCTACACAGTCATCCGCAAAGGCCAGTATTTTGACTGTTGGTTGTCCTTGTGCAGTTATCCCCATGAGACGTGAGTCAGTTACTTGGAGGAGTGGGTCAAATCTGAAATTGTATAGCAGTGGGCTGAGGGGATCCCCTTGTTTGAGCCCTCTGTGTGGTTTAATCTTGTTTGTTAGGAATCCAGGCCTTTATTAAGTTAATTATTTTCCAGAAATGGAGATTTTGGGCATAAAGTGACAAAGTAGGAAATTCTCCCTATATCATACATTTTATATAAACCAGGATAACAACTCCCTCTTTAAAAATTATGAAGGACATTATAAAGTTTTTAATGAATAGTTAGTTATACTAAAAAGAATATTCCTAATTTTCTCGCCTTAAAAAATGATAGTAACCTCTTCATTTAGGTTATTTTAAATGATCTTTAGCAATATCAATATCTAAACTTTATATAAATTGTCATGGCCAAAAAACCATTTCTAGTACATCCAGTTAAAATAGACATCCCTATTGTCAAAAGATACTAGCAATTTAGCTATAAAAGTTATCCTTTACTATATTCCAACAGATATGTAAACTATCAGGTGTCTTATTTTAAATGACTATATCTAGCGCTGAAAAAATTTACTGTACTACTGGACAATAAAGTTTTGCCATCCTCTTTGCTTTATAACGCTTTATACTATTCCTGTATGACACCTAATTCAAAACAATCATGGACCATGCCTCTGTTCATTGGCCTTATAAATAAAGGATCTCATTGTCAGTTTAAAGCAATATTTTCTAAATCTACATGATTAAGCCCTTTTATCATACACCTATAAAGATTATACATTACATTGTTGGTAATATCCAAGGTCCTGAAATTGGTCAATACTATAATTAAAAGGACCAATTTTATAATCTAATAGAGTATCCTGACTGGTTAGGAATCAGGATATTATGATAAAGGCTGAATTGACCTATTTGATAGAAAATACTAAGAATGGGACAGGATGCTTAACAAGCTTTTTGATAAGAAATGTCTATCATACAATTATTTATTATCTCACACCAAGATCATACTATAAGGAAAAACTACCATTGAACTGGGCACAGTAAAAATCCTTATGAATTGCTGGAAAGGTGTTTGTATTGGTATTGGATGATTAATCTAAAGTAGTCCTAAAAGTGTCTTACTAACCATATTCATGACTGGAAAAGCTTCAAATTTTATCAGTAAAGACGATGAAAAGACCTTAACACTATAATTATTAATGTAGTTGTGCTCCTCTATGTGATTCAACAGCATCAATATATCTAATTATCATAAATCTTCTAACAAAATTAATTAAATATATTGCATCACCATCTTTAATTGCTAAGACTAATGCTCATGCATAGTTTGCTTTATTCTATTCATCCTAGATGTCCCAAAATATTGATCTTAACACTTAGCTTAACCACACCTTGCAGGTCATATAATTATCAACCTCCTTATTTATACTGCTTGGTATTTTGTCAACCCATACAACTCTTGCCACCAATAGAACAATATAATGAGTCAAAGGTACTTAAATATTCATTAATTGAATGTTTAGATAAACATATTCAGTGAGTTATCATCACAGTCTTATAAGTGCATTGGTGGCCTCTTAAGTGAGCTACTATTGGGTTATAAAGATGTTATTGTTTCATGCCCTGTACAATTTGAGACCCTAGAAGAACTAGCAGTATATAACCCCTTCTGGAAAAGGCTACCCTAACTTCTTTAAGCTTATGATATGAGCCTTGGCTGAGAAATACAGTCTAAAGACATTTTTCACTGACTTAATAATATTCAACATCACTTGAAAACACCTTCATCAATGCATGATACCCTTCTTTCAAAAAATTATAACCTTATAATCTTGTCCTGTTTTACCACCATTGAACAAAAATTGTTTTAACAAGCTCAACTATTATTGATCAGGAACTTAACATGTAGTCCACAAAGCAGTGTCTAAATATGCTATTACAATGTGGCTTAAAGGATAATGATGAACCAAGCCCATGTGAGACTTGTCCATGTGTATGCTGAATCATTACATGATCTTGAGGGGCATTATTAGAGTCTATAACAGGTATCAGTCTAGCACATTCATTCAAAAAGAGAGTTCCTTGGTTTTTCCTTGATTTGTTTCTTAGGTGAAGCTCTACTAAAATTTTCCAAACTATGATGGTCTACTCTTAACTTTTAATTATCTATAAGATGAAGAAATTTTACATATAATATGGTGACTTATATGTAACAATTAGGATTACATCCAGTCATTGTATTTTGACTCAAATTCAGATTTTTAAAATCCCAAGTCAAATTTCTTATGGGATTCTTGGTTGGATTAGGGTTTGGCGCTGGTCTGTGCCTCTCCCTAGCCATTAATCAGGCTCTTATGAGACAAAGAATAGTGTGGGAGAGGCACCCTGGAAGAATAACCTTAAAAGGTAGAGCCTGAACATTATGAACTTCAGTTTAAAATTTTTATTTGTAGTTTAACCTTATGCATTAATTACTCTTATTGCCTTGAGGCCACTCTTACCTTATATTACCTGGTTTCTGCAATGCGCCAAGTTTTTGTCACATTAACAAAAACTTGGATTTTAAACTTGATCTCCTAAAATTACTGTGCTTTTTCTTTGTGCTTGAAACAACTAATTAATGGGATCTGCTCAAGGGCGGCATTTTATATCATATTAATAACTAAAATGAGGTTAATTCTGGGGTTGCACCCTCACTTAACTTTTTGTCTTTTTTCTTACTTTGAGTTTCCCTGATTTGGAGGTTTGACTGGTTAGTTTAATGTAGCATTAACACTTGCCTTAAGAGTCCAACCTCGCATTGGACATACTTTTAGCATCATAAGTTGACATCAAACCAAAGGCAATATGGTGATTGATAATTGGGATTTTTCCAAGCGTTACACATACTAACTAGATTCTGGTCCCCCTAATATTGTCACAAATATAATCTTTTCCTTAATTAAACATTGCCTTAATATTTTTCAAAAATAAGGAAAGTTAGGAATTAACCCCAATGCGCTCTGAAAAAGAAAAATTGTTCTTGATCTCCAACAAACTCAAAAACAATTACCACCAGTTAAACAATCTATAAATGATTAAAATTCAATTAAACCAAAGCGTTAATCACACCTGCGCAAAAAATGTGATCAAACCTACAAATATATATAACCAAGGTTGAATATGGCAATCAACCCTAAAGCTATCACCCAAATATCACAGCTCTGATTGAAGAGCTGCTTGCTACAAGTAACTTGAAGCTTCCAGAGAAAATCATGACAACTGATTCTGAGCAAATTGACAGCTTTTTTAACTAGTTTTCTTCTATAATAATCTAACAGAGTTTTAAATTATTTGGTGAAGAGGTATATAAGAAATTTCTCTGCTAAAATCTTCAGTTTCATTCTCTATATTCTCCCAATAAAAACTTCTGTTTAAATTCTTTTTGGCATTTTCTGGGCTTTACTTCTAGTTATGATTCCAACTGATTTGGCTTACATGCCGCAGAATCTGTTCTCATCCTAGATCTCTGGCACTCATGTTTCTCCTGCTATGTCTGGGTATGTCCCTTGCCAGCAACCTAATTTACTACCAAGGGGCAAAGTGCAGTTAAGCCAATATATATTTCTTGGCACTACTATAACTTGGGCATGCTTGTGGGTGTGCCTATCCAACAGTATTGCCTTCCACCTTATGGAGGTGAACTGTGACTTATATAGATACATGATTGGGTCACATATTGATGAACAAATACAGAGTTATCTCTAAAAACAGAAACCTTTCAGTGGTTCTCAACCTAGAAGAGAGTTGATAAATATGATGAAATAATCTATAATTGTCCTACTTAATATTGGGATACCCCAAACCCTATAATTTTAGATTATTTAAATGGTAAAGTAGTTTATTTCTATCATAATTAACCCTTGAATTACTTTATTCCTTTGATATAAATTTGAGACAGTATATCATTTTTTGGTCTTAACCATAGAAATAAATCTTTTTAGCTTTTCCATGAATAAAATAAAGAGCTTTTACCATATCCCTAAAATCTTCCTCAAGGAAAGGGTTTTTTTTAGTATTAGATGGTACAAGGAAAGGGTTTTTTAAGAACAATTTGATCATCTCAAACATGGAATCTATAAAGACACAAGGTTAATTTTTCAGTTTTAAATATACTTATCCTAACAGTAAAGTAGTAGATAAAGATATATGTAAACATTTATTTTTATAACTTTTGTATATATATATACTATTTCTTCAATTACTTTCTAGCCTAAAAAAAGGGTGGTTAGCTGAGCAGGTAAAACTGCTTACACCCATAGTGCAGGTTTTGATTTGAAACCTGTACTGGCTAGAAAAACATTCTCAGTGTGGTATATTTGTCCCAAGGTTGACCCACCTCAAATAAAAAAATACTTTCTAGCCTAAAAAATTTACATCATGTTTTATGTTTACATTAAAATTTCTTAGGCAATATTACTTTATACAGTAATTAAAAATTACTTTATAATCTTACCTTTGTTATAAAATAGATATACAATACATTTTTAGATTTTATTCAATATTAAACTAAAATAGTAGGTGTATTATAAAGCTAAAACTGAAGGAACTAGTAGTTGAGAGTCCAATTAGATTCATATAGTAAGCATAAAATATAGACAGATCATATATTTTTTATATTTATATAATTTCAACCAAATGTTAAAATAACAGCAGCGTGGCGCAGGGGAAGCGCGCGGGGCTCATAACCCCGAGGTCGTAGGATCGAAACCTACCGCTGCTATTTTTTCAAATTACTTGTCTATCTATAACTAAGCTTTCGCTCCCCGAAAGTATACATAGTGTACTAATTCCACTAAAATTACTCGAGTTTATTCAGAAACATTTTTACTCTAGTTGTAGTTATTTTTTGCTTCTACTTGTATGTCATGAATTAGGTTTTAGAAAAGTAAAAAAATACTTAAAGGATATAGCAATCAACCTTTAAGTTTTAGAGTGATATGCTCTGATTATAGTATAAGCCTTGTGGCATTGCACCCTAGATTGATCTCAATAGTAAACCCAAGTAAGTGACAATATGACTTTGTTGGTATTGTGCAGCAATGTCCTAACCCAAGGTAGAAAATAGTAATGCAGTCTAATGAGTACCTGGCATAACAATACTACATGTAAAGTTTTTAGGTTTTACCATCATTTTACTTCATTCTGACCCCCTTTATTAGAATGATATTTCATCATAGAGGTAAACTATCTTTAATAACCCTTCAGTCTATTTAAAATTTCTGTTTTGTCTCAGTTATTTTATACTATAATAGGAGATACTACATTAGAAATTTTCATATAAATATGTTTTTAACTTACTTAAACCACTATTGACAAATAATTGTGTAAAAGTGATAATTTCCATTTAATTTGGCATAGAACCAATTGCTTGCCCAGTCATATTGATCATATCAAATCAGAGATAATTTTCAAAACAACAAGTTTAATAAACAAATTATAATCATATGGAACAAGCATACTCAAAGATGTTTCTTTTTACAAGTGGTTATAAAGTAATACTTCCTGGAAAAGTATAAGAATCAGTTCATCAATATCTAAGATTCATCTAACTTAGTAATACTGGATATACTAGTGTAAATGCTATCAAGTAAATGCTTTATTTAATTAGAGTAATATGTCATTGACAAATAAAAAAACTAAATATATAAATCATCATTATATGACTGAAACATGTTTAATTTACTTGATGTCTATACTTACCTGAAGTTATACTAAATTCATTAATTTCTATTACCTTATCATTATATATAGTATAGGTAATACGTTGTATTTTATCCTTTTTTATAGTCTAAATTTTATTTGAGGTAAAGACCTTGAGATAAATATACTGCACCAATATAAGGGTTAGGAGAAGGGAGCAAGATATAGGAGTGGAGGACAAAACCCAAGTATGGGGTTAAACCTTCCTGTGCATGTTCTGATAGGCCAGGATTACATGATCTAAGTTCACTAATTTGCTTGGTCAGACCAAGGCATGGTGCACAAATTCACGTATTGATATCCTCTTGGCACAGAAATGCTATCTTCAATACCCACAACTAGATAGTTTGTTTGCACCCATTTTCTTGGGGTAACTATTTAAAGCTCATCAACACCCATAGCTAGGTAGTTTGATTTGCTCACATTTTCATGGGGTAACCACTTAAAGCTTAGGGTGCTATTCTGGGTTATAAAATTTTGCATTTTGGTTTATGACATTGCAAATCAATTTGCTTTTGGTGATGCTAACCCCAAATTTAGGCAATCAGATTACTTAAAGGTAATTTTTTGACCCCCAAGTTTATTTTGTAGCAAATCAAAAAGCTTTAATCTCACTTTATGACCCCTGCCTCAATGTGAGCATGCATTTGAAGATATTTGGAGTCTTTGTAAATATCTTCTACTTAATAAAAAAACATTCACTGACTGACATCTGAAATCTTTAAGTCTGATAGGTTTAATCTATTTGAGTGAGTGGGTGAGAATTAGCAAATCTTATTGAATAAGAAATTATTGAGCCTGATGGGCTCAATCTTTTTGGGCGTGTGGGTGTTGATTGACAAATTCAATGATTAATTCACCAAATTTGCTCACCTGAAGCTAATCAAGTCTGTTAAGTTTAATCTATTTGGGTGAGTGGGTGAGAGTTGGCAAATAAGATTGAACCTGAAATTATCAGGTATGAAAGATTCAATATATTTTGGGTGAGTGGGTGAGAATTGGTGAATATTATCTAATATATAACTAATTGCTTATCTGAAACTCAACAAAAATCAGTATTAGAGTTCAAGTAGATTAAGTAATTAGGATAAACAGCTCACTAGCCATGAGGGCAACAGCGAAGCTGTTAGTCTAAGTGGCTCAAGATTAGTGCTGGAACAGCCTATAGGCTACAATGTGAGCTAGTATTTGATAAACTAAATACCATAGTGAAGCATGGGTATCTGGATGTTAGGTTTATATATATAAACCTGCCTAATTTAGTTCACCTAATTAATAAAATACTTTTTTCAAGTTAAGTAGAAGTTGAGGGGAGGATACCCAAGTGGTAGAGTAATGACCTCTACCGCTGCCTCCCCAAGTTTGATTCCAGTACTGAAACTTTGGGTAGGGGACAATTATGACTGTGTTGGCGTTGTGCACCAATGTTCTAAACTGAGATAGTGAATAGCAAAGGTGGTCCATGGAGTTCCTGGCCTATCATACACCACGCATAGAGGTTTTCCAGATTTTATCCTCCTTTCCCATTCAATCCTCTTAATCAGTGCATATTGTCCCCAGGTTGGCCCACCTCAAATAAAGTATATAACTAAGTAGAAGTTGATTTAGTAGTTTGGAAGATGTCACATAATCAATGATTTTAAGTATAAAGAGATGTTTTGGGTAGCAGTTTGGTGTTAGTTGATTGATTTGATAGGCTTTTTGTTTGGTAGAGTGGTTGATGGCTTACTTTTCTTTCTCGTTGCAATCACTTTTGCAACCTATTCAATTCAAGACTGAATCTAGTTTGATAATCTCACAGAGGAGATTAGTCTGCGCCCATGTCAGGGAGCAGTTGGGCAAGCAAGGTAAGAGGAGCAGGTGGAAGACCCGCGGCCTCCAACATTTGAAAACGCCCCAAATAATCTGGCGGAATTGACAAAAATTTTAAAAAACTGGCAGTCACTATTTCCCCGGAGATACTCACATGGCAAGCATGATGCAACCAGTACATCAACACGCCACACTCCCAGCCACTTTCGTTGGTGGAATTTGGAGTCTGCATGTTTCTGGACATCCAAAAAAATGGCTTTATGGGAAAGATTTTGTGAAGATGTGCACACAATTTTCCTGACCGCGGTATATGTTGCACCTCACTCCATGTCATTGTGGTTGGCTGGACTTAGGTTTCAAAAGCAAAATGGCAGCAGACGAGGCTGCAGCGGTGCATGTAGTGGTCGACCTCCTGAAGGGCAACAGGTCATCAAAACTAAACGCACCAGATGGACAAAATCAAACCAAATTTTCCTCACGTTTGATTTTTGCCTACTATGGTAAAATGTGACATTTTGGAACAACACCTGAAAGATGGTCTCGCCATGTATGGCAAAATACAATCTTTCAAAATGCAACGCTTCATGCTGATGCCACACCTGTCTACCGGCAAAGCCATTACAGTTCTGACCCCAACTGAGGAGATCATGAAGGACCTAACCCAGATCCCTCACTCCACTTTTATTGATATTGCAGGGCATACCACCCACCCATTCCAGGTGACAGTGGACAGCGCACCCCCCATTTGCACCCACTGTGACACATTCAGCCATAAGGCGCACACATGCCCCATCAAGGAGGGCGTCACATTCCAGAGCACCCCTCAGCGGCCATGGCCAGCGGAGAGGCGCACTATGAACCAACTGCAAGCACCAAGGATGCTTTCCCCGTGGGGAGCACAAGGCTGCTACCTACTGGTAAAGCCTATCTCCCCACAAGAACGGAAGAAGGCCAAGCAGGCCTGTGTAGGGCCATGGCCAAGGAAGCGGCCAAAGCCACCACCGCTATCCCACACTCACAATGCCAGGAGGACATGGAAAACTTTGTGGCAGAAGCAACTCAGGAATCCATCAACCAATCAGATTGGGAAGCCAATGCTGAGCAGGCCACTCAATCTGAGGATCTGATGGGAGATTTAATCTCACCCAATTGTTGCACCCAAGCTCCAGTTGAAACTGACTTGGGACCCATACCAACTGAAAATTTTTTTTTTGACCCGCTCAACGGTGCACTGAACTCATCCGCACCGCAAAAATTTGTCCTACGTCAGGAAAACAAAAAGCGAAGGCTAAAGCCAACACGACTCTTTCCACAAAAATCAACAAAAACTCTGATAGTGTTGCTGCTAACACCCATGCTGCTGTGAAGGCCAGTGGGGAGCTAGAAGAGGCTGGTGGGCCTGGGTGCCCACCCCCTCACACCTAAGGTGCGATGGGGGAAACCTTCACTCATGGGATGTTGAATATTGCCGGACTCAAGGCCTCCCTGTCCCAGTCTAGGAAACTGAGTTTTTACAACACAATTTACCCATGGACATCCTGGCCATCCAGGATCCCACTGTCCACAAGGTTCCAAGGAAACTTGGAAAGCAATGCTCCTCCCATCCTTATCCTTTTGGTCAAAGCACTGTGGGGTGCTAATTTAGAAAAATAACTTTTTCAAATTTATATCCTCAGAAACATTCCTAAATGGCTGAGTGCTTGTTGTCACTTTCTCATGGGCTGACGTAGCGCATGCAATTGTCAAAATCTATGCCCCAAATGGTGCACGTGAGCGTTGGGAATTTTTCTCATTGGTCAAATCCCTCCTGATACACCCAGACTCTTTCCTAGTTGGTGACATGAACTGTTGGCTAAACACACCAACGGACCAGTGGCCTTCCCTCACCCCACGCCCCCCAGGGTCATGTAGAACTACGCGTTCTAAAGGCCACCCTTGGGTTAATGGATGCGCTGTCATGACATGTCCTGCTGCTCAAAAACATGACACGTCCCCACATCCACAATGGCCAATTAAGGTCCATGACCTGCATCGACCTTATTCTAATGCTGGCGAGATTCCAACCCCACATCTCCCACTTCAAAACAACAAAAATGGAATTCTCTGATCATTGGCTGGTCTCGCTAACCTACCACCTACCTGTCACAGCTGCTAAGGCCCCACATTGGTGCAAAATGCCCCCCAAGCTCGCGTTGCCAGGATTTTCCA